GGGGTGGGGGGAACGAGGGAGCAGCTTCGGCCCCCGCCGCGCGCGCGCGCCCAGCCGGCGCCTCGGGGAGGGCGGGGGAGGGCGCGAGGGAGGGAGGGGGACAGCTGCGCGCGCACCGGGCGCGCGGAGGGGGTGTGGGACAGGAGGGAGGGCGGGCAGGAGGGGGTGTGGGAGGGGGGGCAGGGGCGGGGGGGGCGGGGGTTGTTACCTGGAAGATGAAGCTGCTCCAGTTGCTGGGATCCATGGCGGAGGGAGGAGGGAGGTGGCTCGCGCTCACCCTGGGGCGGGAGGAGGCAGCGGTGGGGGAGGGGGCCCGGGGAGGAGGCGCGCAAGGAGGGAGGGGGGAGGAGGGTGGGGGAGCGGAGCACACTGCGCGCCGGAGGGCGGGCGGGGGGCGCGAGGACACACAAGAGGCTGGAGCGGGCGCGAGCGCGAGTGCGCGCGGGGCCAGCGGGAGGGGGAGGTACAGGAGGGACTCTAGGGGGCGGGGGGACGGGGGAGCCACCCAGCAGCCCTAGTCGCCCCGAGCGCGAGACCCCCGAGATGGTTGCTGATTGGCTGGCGATGGTGCAGGTGGTGGGCGCGCGGGAGACTAGGCGGCTTCTCTTCCCCCACTTGAACGATTCCACCCCCCACTTCCCTCCGCCAGCGGCCGTTATTTCACGCGCACGCGCACATAACACGGACGTCGTAGCTGAGCGGGAGAGTGGGGAGCGCGCCGAGGGAGTTACAGCAGGGCGGGGCTAACTCAAAGCGCGTGCCCGCTTAACGGTCGCTGTGCCTAAGCTTTCGCTTCAGCTTTTTGGTTCTTCTAGGCCACCGTCTCCTCCCCATTCCAGTGGTTTATTTACAATCTTGGCCTAGTTTGGGGGTTTCCCAAAGATGGCGTCTACATGGGTGTCCCGCAGAGCTTGAACCTGACCCCCAGGGTAGTGGCTCTCACCCCAGCCCTATCATCAAAAATCAGGCTCAAGCACGGAATAAAAACTGTATTTACACAACATGTCACTATACAAGGATTTTTAAAAGAAAAAGGTAGTGTCAAGAACTGGTAGTCAAGAGGGACCACTGTGCTGGCTGGCAGCCAAGCTCAAGAGATTCGCCTGTAAAGAAGAGGAAAGTGCGTTAATGTAGCAGCCAAAGGTGGGTTGGGGTGGGGGTACAACATGCAGGCCGGTAGAGAAAGGGCAAAGGTGGTCTTACCTTCAGGAAAGACTCCACCTGCTTCCCAGAGATGCCTTCTACCTGTTCCAAGTCCTCCACCTAGTGGGACAGCAACAATAGGAAGGAGGTGGACAAAACACCAGGACAGCCCACTGCACCCGTCTGTCTCCCCGAGTTGTTACCTCATTAAAGGGGCCATGGAGCTCCCTCCAGCCCACGATAAGCTGGGCCTTCTTCTGGCCAATGCGCTGCAGGCTGCGCAGATCCCGAGCTGAACCTTCATTCAGCAGATTCAGTAATTTTTTGCGTCCATGTGCCAGTAACTCTGGGCTAATCTGTACCTCCCAGTAGTCCTCATCCTTTTCCACAGCTTCTGACTCATGTGATGGCTCCAGCTATGAGGTAACAGAAATGGCAGTAAAAGCCAGTGGATGACTGCCACGATCAGGCACGGAACCCATGCTCTGCAGCCTTTTCCTTCTGGTCACTAGTTTTGTTGTGCTTGCATAGTTACTAGCTCCTTTCTCAGTTGCTAGGAAGATCTGATGAATGAATGAGTGTATACATCAGTTCTGACTAGGAGGAAGTATAGTTCAGTGGTAGAACACTTGCCTACCATGCTTGAGGACTGGGGTTCAGTTTCCAGTACAGGGGGAAAAAAGGGAAAACAAAAAAACCCATGTGGAGAAAACAGTAAGCATATACTTATGTCCTTACAATGGGAGCAGTTCTATTGTCAATTTTGTGTGAAGAAAATTATATTTTATATTTTTCATTCTATGTGAGAGATTTTTAAATACTGTCATAGGCTCTACAGTTCTTAGAAGGCAGGACCCACATTAGATCCAGTCAGTAGCCAATCCAAACACAAGAGGCATCAAGAAGAAAAGAAACAGAGTGGCAGATACTCTCTCTAGGAAACACATCCATACCTCCCCCCTCCGCCCCAAAAGTTCTTTAAGGCACCATCATCTGCAAAAAGTTCCCAGCTGGAAAACAGGGTGGGGCTCACCTTCCTTTTGTGGCCTTTCTTCAGGAGGTGGATCTTGTTTGAGGACTCTGCCTGCTTCTGAACTGAAAGGAATTTGGAAGTGATCAGCACAGGTGGCCTCCTTTCCTCTCTCCCTTCCCAGTGACCATGTGCTTCTCCCAGTTCAGGTTTTCCTAGCTCCCTCCAACCATAAGCTTTTGGTTTTGCCTTTTTTTTTTTTGTTTTTTTTTTTTTTAAGGCAGGGTCTCATAACCAAGGATAACCTAGAAGTCATAGTAATCCTTCTGCTTCACCCTCCTAAGTGGCACCATATCCAGCCAATACCCCACTGTCTACGACACCCTAGGACAAGCATCCAGGGCTTCTTCAGACCCAGTGGATAGATGAGTGACATGTCTCTTCCTGGAACTAAACTTACTCCGTTGCAGGGGCATCACTACAGCCTTTTTCAAGGGCTTTGCCACTGTGCCACTACAAGAGGAAGGGAGCTGGAGAACTGTGGGAGTGTTCTCTTTTTCCTGTGGATCCAGTGCCTCCTGGGCCAGCACCTTGGCTTCCAGTTCTTTTTGCTTCATCTTAAGCCTCTGTTGGAAAGAATCATGGGGAGATGTGATTTAGCTCCTGCCCCAAAGCAGTGGATTACAAAGGTGAGAGATTAGCAGGTAGAGAGCTCTGAGGTCCCAAGAGGACAGAGATAATAGCGGTAGGAGAATCGATGAGACAGAATTCAAAATAACTAGGGGAGGTCTAGTGATCAGAGGCCACCTAGAGACACCCTGGCTTTCCTGGAACTCACTCTGTAGACCAGGCTGGCCTCAAACTCAGAGATCCACCTGTCTCTGCCTTCAGAGTGCTGGAATTAAAGGTGCGCACCACCACCTCTCTGAATGTGAGGTTTTATGAAATACATTTTTGTTTGTTTGTTTGTTTTGGTTTTTTGAGACAGGGTTTCTCTGTGTAGCCCTGGCTGTCCTGGAACTCACTCTGTAGACCAGGCTGGCCTCGAACTCAGAAATCCGCCTGCCACTACCTACCAAGTGCTGGGATTAAAGGCGTGCACCACCACTGCCCGGCGAAATACACTTTTTTAAAGATTTTTAAAAATTATGTATACAGCATTATGCCTGCATAGGCACCAGATCTCATTATAGACGTTTATGAACTACCATGCAGTTGCTGAGAACTGTACTTAGGACCTCTGGAAGAACAACCAGTGCTCTTAACCTCTGAGCCATCTCTCCAGCCCTAGATTTTTTTCTCTTTCTTTTTTAGATAAGGTCTCGGGGCTGGAGAGATGGCTCAGTGGTTAAGAGCACCAGACTGTTCTTCCAGAGGTCCTGAGTTCAATTTCCAGCAACCACATGGTGGCTCACAACCATCTGTAATGGGATCTGATGCCCTCTTCTGGTGTGTCTGAAGACAGCTACAGTGTACTCACATACATAAATAAATCTTAAAAAAAAAAAAAAAAATCCAGCTGCCTCTGCCTCTGCCTCTGGGGTCTTGGGATTAAAGGTGTGGGCTATCCTGGTCAGCTGGGCTATATCCTGGTCAGCATCATATTTTTTAAAAAAAGTCTCATTATGTAGCCACACCTCACCTAGAACTTAGTATGTAGATTGGGCCAACCTTGAATTCACAAAAAGAGCTGCCTGCCTACTTAGGCAGGTTATATATTTTTATTTATGTGCCTGGTGCCCTTGTAGGTCAGAAGACAGTGTTGGGTCTAGAAATGGAGTTACAGGCAGTCATGAACTGCCATGTAGTTGCTGGAAATTGAGTCAGTGTTCTTAACTGCCGAGTCATGTCTCTAGCCTCCGGAACTATATTTACTATTTTGTGTATGTACCCAAAGACCTCAGAGAGACGTTGGCTCCCTGAAGCTGGATGTTGCCTGATGTGGGTGTGGGCAACTGAATTAGGGTCCTCTACCAGAACAACTCGAGCCTTTTAACCACTAAGTCATTTCTCTACCCTCAGATAATGTATTTTTAATTTGGATTTCTTCCCCATTATCTGATCTCAGTTGTCTCTTAGGCTTCAGTCATGTTAAATGTATTCAAGCAGGGGCTAGAGAGATGGCTCAGTTGCTCAGTACACTGTTCTTCCAGAGAACTCGGGTGTGATTCCACCAATTTGGCAGCTCATAACTATCTCTTAACGCTAGACCCAGGGTATCTGACACCCTTTTCGGACCTCCGTGGGCATTGTACACATGTGGTTCACAGTCATAAAGGTCACTACAAAACTCGTATACATAAAAATAAACACCAAACAAAATATTCAATCAGAAGTCAGAAAACATCCAGAACTAGATGAAAGCTGAATTCTAGATCAGCATCTACCCTTCCTTGTCTGAACATACTAGGAATGCTTCTTAAAGCTGGTTGGAATATTCAGCCAGCTTCTCAAAGATTTACCTCAATCTCCAAGTTCTTTTCCTCCACTGTCTTAATGAGTACCATTCGCTCTCGTTTTGGGGTATTCAGTAGAGGTGTCCCTTGGCTTCCCTGGGAACCCAGCAAACGTTCCATACTCAGGAGGTTCTCCAACATGGCTGGATCCATATTGCTTAGCTTCTGTAAGAGGCTGAATTGAAAAAAAGGTTACTTTCTGTCTCATCACCTCCAGCAGCAGGACTACCCTTGTCATACCTTAGCTTGGTGTATGTGTTTCAGGATCCTGA